GCCGGGGGGGTCCCTCATGGCGCCCGGTGCGAGGGGACGGGCCCCCTCTGCTTTGGGGGGTTCCTTCTCATGGCAAGGGGATGGGGCCCCTGCTTCGGGGTCCTTCTCATGACACCTAAAGTGAGCACGTGGGGTTCCCCCCTCTCATTTGGGAGGGTCCCTCATGGGGTGTGGAGGGATGGACCCCCTCTGATCTGAGGACGGCTTCCAAGGCACTGAATGTGAGCGTCTGCACTGGAGGGACCCCAGAGCGAGAGAGCTCCCCCCATGGGGGGATGAGACCCCTCAGCTTGCTATGGGAACCCATCGACTGCCCACCGTGGCAGCGACCTCTGGCCTTGGTCCCCACACCTTTGATCAAAGGAGGGTGCCTGGCCAAAGGAGGGGTCCCCAGCCTTTGGGGTGGCACTCAGCTGGGTTCCCCTCCCTGCAGAGAGTCAGGCAGTTTTAGGTGTGTTGGGGTGGGAATGCCTGCACTTGGGCTCTCCTTTGGCCTGAACGGTGGACCTCAACAGGGTGTCCTTGGTGATTCCCACCTCAGGTTCCCCCCAGAGAGGGCTGACGCCTTGCATGAGGCGCTGGGTAGTGGATACTGGGTTTAACTGGTTCTTGACTGACGGGAGCTGTTGTGCTGCGACCTCTTCCCCGCAGATGGACGCCAGGAGCGGGTCATGTTTGACAAGATCACATCGCGCATCCAGAAGCTCTGCTACGGGCTCAACGCTGACTTCGTTGATCCTGTGAGTTGATCCTTCTTTATCCTGTGCTCTGCCCCTTGTGGTGATCCCTCCTAAAATCCAGGTGTTACCCAGGTGCTCTCCCTGGCCAAAGCCAAGCCCTGCAGCCTGTGCAGGGCTCTTGGCAAATGCATTCATAATGTGTTTCTTCTCATTGTGTTCTGAGGTTTTTTGCTTCATGTACAGAAGTCTGAGACTGCGTGAGGGAAAAATCACTTTATCTATTATTGTAAACTGCTTTTGTCTCAAATGTTCTTGAAGTGATTGAGCTTGTTGTGCTTAAAGAGTTGTTTGTAGCTCCAGTCCACGTATTGTGGTAGATTGCTCTCAATTTCGATCTGCAAAGCTTGAGCAATACTAAGTGGAAAGTAGCTCTTGATCCTCTCAATAAAACAAGGTGCTCTCTCTGTCTGAGAGAACCTCCCTGTCACTATAATATTCCTGGTTTGCTTTTTTGGGGTGTGTAGGATGCTCAGCGTGTGCTGAGCCCACTCCTGTGAACTTTTTCCAAAGCCTGGGCAGAGATGACTCCCTCTGAGTCCATTGATCTCCGTGAGGTGTTCATGCAGCTCTGCAGACCCAGTCTGTTCTTTTGGAGTTGCCAGCTTAAAGCTCTTCCCATCTCAAAGATCCGATGATCTGTTTCCATGTCTTAAATTGCATCTGTGACATATTTGACATTCATCCTGTAGCAAGAAGTGCTCTGCAGCCACAGAGAGCAGGAGGAGCTTTAGTGACTCTGTTACTGGAACACAAACAATACTGTCTTGATCTCAGTGATGTTGGGAGTAGGTGAGGACAGAGGTAAGGTTCCTGGTCCTCCTGACTCTTAATTACCCTTGTCTCAATAATCTAAGCACTGCATTCTTATTTATTCCACAGTAGTGTGACATCTCTCTTCCTAGAATTGAGTTTCTCCTTTTCAACTTGGATCTTCTTGTGCCAGATGCTTTACAAGCCAGTACTAAAACTCCTTGACCTGATGTCCTTACTTTTGAGAGGCTGTTGGAACTTCCAGTGTGTTTGGCAGTTACTTTGTCAGATCAGGCCTCTCTTCCCCAGGGCAGAATGTGCCCTTTCTTGTAGGGATCAGTGCTAAATGCATAAAAGAAAAGCAGAAAATACTTTAGAGTAGATGAAAAAGTCTTTTCCCACAAAAGGTCCCAACTGGCAGGTGAGGGTTGGGTTAAACCATGAAGCAAAAGCCACTTTGCCTCTTCCAGGGCTGGAGGTTTCCTTGCTCTTGTCATGAAATGACTTTAAGAGCAGCACTTCCACATCCCTTCAGGCATTTATAAAGTCAAACTTCATTTGGAGTTTCAAAACTCCCAAGCAAATGCTGTTTCAATCTGACTTTTCTGAACTTTGAACTTTACTGCGACTCTGTTCCAGCCTTTAGGAAGGTGTCTGCAGGGAAGAAGCTGGTGATGAGTCTGGATTGACAGTTCCTGTTTTCTGCTCTCTTCCCTTGCTCTCCCTTCTGCCCCAGTATTTCACATTTTAGGAGTCAGTACTTGACCAAGAGGGTTTGGTATCTCAATTTGCTTTCCTGCTCAATCATACTGCTTATAGGGAAGCAGATTTGACATCTTAAATACCTGAATCATCACATCATGACTCCTTTTTTCCCCACCAACAGGTAGCTAACCTCCAGGATTTTCCTTTTCCAGGCCCAGATCACCATGAAAGTGATTCAGGGACTCTACAGTGGTGTCACCACAGTGGAACTGGATACGTTGGCTGCCGAAACGGCTGCAACCCTGACCACCAAACACCCCGACTATGCCATCCTGGCAGCAAGGATTGCAGTGTCCAACCTGCACAAGGAAACCAAGAAGGTGTTCAGTGGTATGTCTCTGGGGGACTTGGATAGAATCATGGAATGGTTTGGGATGAAGGGAGCTTAAAGCTCATCCAGGTCCAAGCCCCCACCACAGGCAGGGACCCCTTCCACTAGAGCAGGTTGCTCCAAGCCCCTGTGTCCAACCTGGCCTTGAACACTGCCAGGGATGGGGCAGCCACAGCTTCTCTGGGCACCCTGTGCCAGCACCTCAGCACCCTCCCAGGGAAGAGCTTCTGCCTCAGAGCTCATCTCAATCTCCCCTCTGGCAGGTTCAAGCCATTCCCCTTGGCCTGTCACTACATGCCCTTGTATAGCAATAGTCAGAAAGGGAGTAGGTGGTTTAGAGGATATAAATATGGAAATCTCTTTCTTAAGCAGGAGTTACTCAGTACCCAGGCTAACTAAAAATGCCATGGAAATGAAAAAACATGAGTTTTAGGGATGTCACACAAAGTGAAATTGCCTGGTTTGTGAAAAGTGTCTGTATAAATAGATTGATGAAAAATGTAACTGATGGAAATGAGGTTGCACCCACTTTCTTTCCCATTTATTATGTGTTATAATCTGTAAAAAACCCTTCTAAGGGAAGTGCATTTTTAAGGTTGACAGTAGTGAGCAGGTAGAAGTTGTGTGTTTGTAGAGCTGGAGGGGGTTATATTAGAGGATGGCTACTCCTGCCCTTGAAACCAGATGGCAGGTGATGCGTGTGCAGGTCTTGGGATGTCCCTCTTTTTAACCCCTTTTCTGTTGTAGATGTGATGGATGATCTCTACAACTACATAAACCCTCACAACGGGAAGCACTCGCCAATGATCTCCAAAGAAACTCTCGACATAGTCTTGGCCAACAAAGATGTGTGTAACTTCTTTCACTGCTGAGTTTTAAACGTTCAGTGAACTAGTTCAGATAATTGATTTCTCTTATTTTAAAGCAACCCATGTTTGGTTCAGGGCGCAAAGCGAGTGCAGAAACCAGTGCAGGGGAGAGCTGCTCCCTTCTGGAGAGTTTAAAAGAGGATGTAGGAATTTCTTCATCTAATGGTATTTCTGCAGCAGAATCTATTTTCTCAGATATCATAGAATCCCAGACTGGTTTAGGTTGGAAAGGACCTTAAGATCATCCAGTTACAACCCCTGCCACGAGCAGGGACACCTTCCACTCGCGCAGGTGGCTG